ATTCTCTCGCTTTCTTCACTACCGATGAACTATTCCCAATCTATACTTCCGCTTTTCGAATAAAGACGGGTCCTCAAAATTATCGTGAACTGTGCCTTTGAGGGTATCCGAAGGTCCTACGCTCAAATTAGTGAATGCTCAAAGCCCATGTAAATTTATGCATCCTGTCACGCAATAGTGATTTGGGAGAAACTCAACAGCGAAAGCATCGAAAAGATGGGTCACCTTCACAAGGCCAAATTATGACAAGGTTAAGAAAAAACAGTATCGAACAGTACGTACCTCCCGCATCTCGTCGCCTTTTTTCTCATGACTGAAAAGGATGATCCTTATGGGAGCCTCGATGAAGTAATATGGTGCTCTGAATAAGCCTACAGTAACAAAAAAAAAAGAAATAGAGAAATAAAGAAAGAAGAAAAGAAATATCAAAATTACAAAAAAGGGTAAAAAGCAGAAGCACAGCGGTAACGAAAATTCTACTCAGAAGCATTTGTTAGAGCCAAATCAAGTACCAATGTGCGGTCAAGATTTTGACGAGTGCAAGGAGTCCATCGATCCAAAATTCAAATTTTATTCATTATCACATGATTAGATCCTGAATCCCATATGTACAATACAACTGTTCATTTCAACAATCATCGCAACTTACTTCAAAGCAATACAAGTGAACAGATGAGAACTGTGCCTTAGTGACGCGTGCGGTCGCAACGCGGTCAATTCTGACTACTGTGCTTTGTGCTTCGCAATTTGTTCTGATGCGTTTTCATCATTCCTTTTATTTCCATCTTTATTATGGACACACAACCCATTCGCTGATAGCGTTGCGACCGAAACCTGACGCATCACTACTGCATCTCAAAATATCATCACTTTTCTAAAACGGTTAGTTACGTGCACTTATTTAAACAGACTTTTTTGGCATCACCTTGAGAGGTTTGAGAATGAATAATGCAACAAATTATGAAGGTATAGTGAGTGATATGATTAGGATATCAACAATAGTACTGTACCTGATGATAACTTCATAGGAGAATCAGACCGATGAGAAAATTAAGAAATGAGCAAATATTCCGATACCGACTGGTTGGACATCTGGCGCCTTCTGAATCGCCCCTTTGGCTTACTGTAGCGCCGGTGCACAGGCTGCAGAACCTATCCCGTCGGGATTGATGAGAATCTCTACCTTGAGGCGACAGACCTACTAATTCCAAACGACTTAATCCATGAATGGCTATAGTCGAATGTGATGAGGTAAGTCTGTCGACACACTTCATCTTGCTTTTCACTTTTCAAACTGCCGCAAACGGGTTGCGGGTATAATAGGAAGGTAAATATGATCGAGTAAGTAGAAACATGAAACAGAGATAGAATTCCTGTTCCATCTGCTAGAATGCGCCATATATTCGACTTTCAATGAAGACCAGCCGATTAAGGCGTGCTGTTAATTGCCTACCAGACTAGTATCGCAATGACTAAACGTCTTTAGAGAATTCGGAGCTTTACTGATTCAAAATAGCTTAGCACTCCGATCTGTGGGTCATGCATTCATACTAGAAGATGTTTGTCATTACCAACTCAGCACAGGTAGAAAGCTACTTCTTGTTCCCGTAATACCCAACTAGTCAGTATTGGAAGTTCGATTCCTGCCATAACTTCAATGAGTGAAATGTTGAAAAATTCACAACTTTGCTCTGAATAACTTTTTCCAACCTGCTTATATACAGGCGTGTAACCCGGAATGTGAAAAAAATAATAATTTAAATAAAAAACGAATGAAGCAGTTATTATGCTTCAGCTGGAACGCCTTAAAAGCTCTAAGAGTTTGATTGTCGTTCCATGATCGAATAAGCTCGAACTAAGTGAATCAGATATGTGAAAATGAGAAGTTTTCAAGTGATGTCACGATTTACGCCGAGCCGGAAAGCTCAGGTAATTCTAGGTAGGAAGATCACATGACGTCATAATCAGTTTACGATCCCAGAGGTTTGAACAAACGTGCACTGATTTTATCGATTTTTGGACGTTCCTGATCCTGAACGTGTGCACAATTGAAAAAACGTGAACTGTGCTTCTAATGCATAAAATTGAACTCACATTTAAGCAGCGGTTTCCGTGGACATACGATCGCGACAGTACTGTATGAACTCCCCAGCCGCAGGGAAGCGTTCCTGTAAAAGGCTGTTGATGTGATTCAGTTAAATGCAGGAGTAGGGATGGTATTCAAACTGAATCTCAGTTTAAAAAACCCAGAATTCAGCGATAACCCTAAAAATCGAAAACACAGCAAACAACAAACAAAAAGTAATCACTAGCATCAACTAGGATTGAAGCAGAGAAATATATATAAGAGACCACAGCTAACGTATTATTAAGCAGACATCTTTTTCTTCTTCTCTCAATCGTCAATCCTGCGCCGTCGCATGCTTCTTGATCGCGTCCCACAAACTCTTATTTGGGCTCCTTGCGGATGCTCCCCTTGGCCTCGAATTCAATTGCCTCTCATACCAGATGACTCTGTGGCCTTCTCAGTACTGACCCTGCTCTCTCCTCTTGTGAACACGGGCTGTTTGTATAACCGCCCTGGCGACCACATTCCTGATCCGGTCCATTCCGTGTAACCGCAAACCTATCTGAGCATCATCACTTCAACTCATTTAGGTAATCTTTCAGAATTTTTATTTATGGGCCGGCACTCGTTGCCGTAGAATATCGTGAGTGCTTTTCTGCTTAAAACACCTTTCCTTTGAGCGAAGTGTTAATATGGGCACCATTTACCCTTTACTGCCCCACTTTGTCGAGAATGGGCTGGATTTCTGCCGAATTTTTTCGAGAAGATGAGACCGGCTAGAAACTTGCCTACAAGGGTAATTTGAACCGTAGAACACGAATATTGCATGCATTTGTCATAAAGATGCCTAGCGCTTGCGCTACCGGCACCTGCGCCAAGTCGCTGGGTCACCGATCCTGCTGAAAACCTGCCCCTAACTAGTGTCCCAGGCATTTTCATGATGAGTGGATGCGATATTCGTGTTCTACGGGTCAAATTACCCTTCTGAGCAAGTTTCTAGCCGGTTCCATCTTCTTTGAAAAAATTCGATAGAAATCCAGCCCTTTCTCGACAGAGTGGGGCAGTAAAGGGTAAATAGTGCCTTAATATGCAAACAACAGAAAGGACTCTCGAGGTTTACGGGACCTAGGCATCTTCAGATCGCATAATCAGAACAGAAAAGGAAGTACAGCAAAACTTATACAAAGCGACTTTTGAATCGAGTCATTGCCACTTCATCCGCGAAAACCATTCACTAATGGGTAAAATGAAAAAAATAAAAAAGAAAAAAGCATGGTTCGTTTCCATCAAAATGAGTGGGCGTTTTTGAGCTAAAGCCTCTTACAAAGAGAGGTTACTGAGATGTAAGAAGTAATAATACGAAGAAGTAATGAGTACTCAGAAAAAACTCACATGAGCAGCTTTATCAAAGATTTCCTCATCAGTAACCAAAGGCAAAAAGAGATTAATGAGATCATCAGAAAATGGTGGGGCGATTATCTCGAGAATCTACAAAAACAGTTTTCGGAATTTTTCTAAAAATGGATTAGTTGAACACAGGCTCGCTCACCTCCGTCGCGAAGTACCGCACCAGAGACGCATCTATTTGTCCATCACGGAACATCTCCCACACCTTTTCCAGAACTGGGATCGTTCCGCCCACCGATAACAAATGCACGAGGCGATCGACGACAAGCCGTTGACGTTCCATAATTACCTGAAAGGTTATAATATTTTCAAAAAGCAATTTATTGGAAAAAATGGAGCGCCGCGCCATTCCCATACCTGTGAACTTGCAACCAGCTGTCGATGCTAAGCATAGATATTTATTGCAGCTGAGTGGATTAGGTTGTGCCCTCGCTGTTGGCTGCCAAGGGTGAAAGGTCCGTTTACTTTAACAGCAGCGACAAGGGCCGCAAGTTCGCTGAGTATGAAAGCAGACTAATGAACCCCACAAAAAACAAACAATACCTCAGCGGCTTCATTCTCTCCAGCTATCTTTTCATACAATTGACAGCATACGTCGAAAGCTTTAGCATGTAAGTTCGGATGAAGGGTAGAGATATGGTCCAGAAGGCATAAGGCGGCTCCGGGAGGATCTCCTTAAAGACAAATAAGTAAGCATAAGCAAAGTAATGGAGAAAATGTTGAAGTCATGTTTCCTCGAATGGTTTGAGAAATTCAATCTTATTCCCCCTTAGCAGTTTGGTTTTGTTAAAGGTTCCTCCACCTGTTTGCAACTTTTAGAATGCACCCATAAGTGGGCCGTTGCTCTTGGTTTGTCGAAAGATGTTGATATCATTTACTTTGATTTGAGTAAAGCTTTCGATTTAGTGGTTCACGAAAAACTCCTCCGAAGACTTGAAAGCGTTGGTATTAGAGGTGCCCTTTTGAACTGGATGAGATCGTATCTTCGAGATCGTACTTTCGTGGTTAATTACAAGGGCACTGCTTCTCATAAGTGTCACTGTAATTCAGGTGTTCCTCAAGGGGGTGTGTTATCCCCATTGCTGTTTATTATATATACAATGGATCTCCCTACCGCCTTATGTTTCAGTCGGGATGTAGACGTATATGCCTTCGCTGATGATGTGAAAGCGTTTACCTGCACTGACTGTGGAAATTTTTCTGAAGCTAAGTCTTTACTGAACAATGTTTTTGATCGTATGACACAATGGACAAGTGATTGGGGCCTCAGGCTCAATGTTGACAAAACTTGCTTACTATCACTAAGCAACAGATCGGTAGAACTTTCGCTTAATGGTATGTTATCATCTTCTGCTCTAAACCAATGTCGTGATCTGGGTGTTATTGTTTCGAAGTCCTTGAGCTGGGAATCGCATATTGATGCCATGGTGGCTAGGGCGCTAAAGCGTCTCTACTGCTTGTTCAGAATCATTAAGATTTCCGACCTAACGATTCTCATCAAGCTGTACAAGGCCTATGTGGTACCTATTCTTGATTATTGCTGTCAAGTTTGGAGCCCTAACTCGAGAAAACTCATTTGTAAGCTTGAAAAAGTTCAAATGGTTTTCACCAGGCTTTTATACTATCGCATCTTCCCTGAGCCTGGATACCCAAGATCTCTGCCGCCTTACAGCATTCGTTTGAAAGAACTCGGAATGAAAAGTCTTCTCTTCAGGCGGACACTTTCTGACATAGTTCTTGCTTTTAAAATCTTGAAGGGTGAGTCTTGCTTACGTCCTTCAAACTTTTGTTCCTTCAAGCCATCGTCCATGAGAAGGCCATCCTATATCTGTACTTACAGAGCGAGTCACAGTTTTCGATTTCGTAACAGTATTGCCAGGAACTCGTTCTTCTACAGGACGTCCATGTGGCTCAATAAACTTCCGGTTGAGCTCTTCCAGAAAAGAAAGACTCCCAGTTCAAAAAAGCGCTACTTAAAATTGAGTTCATGCGTTTGATTGGTGTGCAAAACTTTTAGTCATTCGAGGATTTTACGTTTTTGATTGTCGAGACTTTTTCTCTTTCGATCTTGCGGTCTCACTTTGTTTTAGTGCCTTTTCCTGATATCATTCAGTCTCATTTCTTTCGTAGGCAAGCTCTAGCGTAGGGCCGCCATTTGTCTTTAGTTTCGTCCTGCCATCCTTGGCCATTGTAGGACATGAATTAGCAGTAAATGCAACTACAGTCCTCTGCTACCCACTGTTCTGGCTGTCGTCTAATGTTTCAAGGCATGCGAGGGTTAACAAGTGCGTGCTTTCCATAGGTACGTACTTGGGTTTGAGTTTTACGCCCGAGGTTCGTGTTTAGATCAAAGAGGCATGAACCATGCCCGCCCCGGAATAGCACAGCTAGTTGCGTTGCTCAGGCTGACCCTTCTATTGCCAGTCTTTATTGCCAGTTTCAATGCAGCTCTTAAGTCATGCAGTGTGGTCACACAGAGACAAGAACAATTCCACTTTCATATTGTGTGTGGTGTTCTGTCCAATAATGTCCATTTGGATGCTATAGTTATGTGTTAGTCGCTTTAAAGTGCTGCCGTACCGATAGCTTCCTTCTACCTCGTCATAATGCCCTCCCCTCTATTCAGGATGTCGCTTAGTCTGTCTCAATATGTCTACGTACGCTTTCGCTTATGTTTTCACCGTGCTTTTGCCCTTATGTCGCTATCCAATCCTGTTTGGTTAGGGTTTTTTGCCTTTGCTTTATGTTACATATTGTTAGTTTTGCTAGTTTTTTTCGTTCTTTTTTTTCGTTTTGCTTGGTTACGCTCCAGTCATGCCCAGTTTTCTGTTGTGTGTGTAATAGGGTGCACCCTGAGTGCATTTAAAATAAATAAAATAAAATAAATAAGCCGAAAGACATGAATAGCAGAGCTTGAAAACGACGTACCTGTCTTTTCTTCGGATAACAATAACGTTTGTATATAGTGAAGCACTCCAGCAGCTACGACTGGCATTTTGATGGCATGTAGCAATTCATTTAGCTCCGTTAACAGGTCATCCATATTCTCCAAAAGACTGACGACATCATCGAGACATTGACGGCAATTATCAAGTTCCAAGCGTGATTGCTGGAAGATTGAAGTTGACCAAGCCTCTACCCAAGATAACTATTCAATTGGAAAGCCGGGCACGTAATGAAAAATTTTACACAGAAATTATCTTTCTTTCGAAAGCAATTTGGTCCAGTATACAATAGACATATAACATAAAAATAGAAATAAAAATGAACAGGCAAGGGTAAGGTAATGTTCATTAGAAACTGAGTAAATTAAAAGGAAAAAAGAAAGACTGTCACGTGAATATGAAAATACGCCTTTGATTGCTTTTAAAGTACAACGACCGACCGATCGACCGACCAACTGCGGCGGCGCTGCCCACGTATTGACAACGCAGGACCTCGCTGGATCACGCGCTCTAACGACCACGCGGCCCCCAACGAAATCTGCCAGCGTTGTCAACACAAGGCCAGCGACGCCGCAAGCGGTCGGCCGGTCGGTCGTTGAACTCTGAAAGCAGCCTTTAACTGCTGACTACAACTGATCCTTTAAAAAACTAAATATTAAATACTAAAAAAATACAATACACATACCGTCCGCCGCCCATTGCTGTTTCTGGTCTCCGACACTGATGCAGCACATGCTAATAAGAAGATGTACTTGAAACGATGCTCCGGAAGAGTCTAGAAGAAACGATTCTAGCGACTCAAACCGATTTGGTCAATAATAATAGATCTGTCACAAAGTACAAAAATTTTACCTTCGGGCCTTCAAAGTGAAACAACGAGTCTAACAAGAGCTCTATAAATATTGGATCCCGAATAATCGATATTGGAGGCGGTAGTGGTAAGATGTATTGCTGAATTCAAAGCACTACTATAAAACGATATGAATAAAACAAGCAAAAACATCGGAAAAATTAACTTCAACGAAAATAAAATTTTTACGGGTAGAAATATGAAAGAGTAATAAAAAGGAACTTGACCAACACTTGTATATGGATATTTTCAGACTTCAACGACCGACCGACCGTCCGACCGTCCGACGATGGCGCTGGCCATGTATTGACACACGCCCTCACGAGTCACGCGGCCTCGATCGCAATCTGTCCCGCGTTGTCAACACGTGGCCAGATAGCGCCACGGTCGTTCGGTCGGTCGGACGTTTGAGTCTGAAAGGAGCCTATCAAGGACTATCAGTGATGGCTGGTTTGAGCAGCCGCTTCATCATGTACCTTTTACATCCACTCAAAGATACATAACCTCCAGGATTGGTGCTACGCAAATAGTGGTGTTCAAATGAGTTCCAGATAAACTAATTACAGTCCATAAACGTGGGATGGATCGAGCAGATGCCAGACTGCGTGATTTCAACAGCGTTTCGGTCCCTATACAATTTCATCGAAGAAATTTCCAAACACTCACATCATAAATGATCGTTACATCAGCTGGATTCAGTTCACCTTTGCTGACCATATTTAGAAGGGCTTGAGTGAAATGTGAAGCTACCTAAAACGTGTGAATTTATAAGTAGTGCTGAACTATAGACTTTTACTGTATATGTTACAGGGCTTTGCTAAATTCGGCACTTTTCTTTCTGACCTCTACGCGTCCCCCGAATCGAGTTGAGCTCTTATATCGTAAGTACCGCCCACTGCGAGAACACTCCGTCCACCGCTGGTGAGCCTCTTTCATTTCACTTGTTGACCCATCACTTACCTTCCCCCATTTTTTCCCGGGGTCTGAGCTGTTATGAAATCTAATTCAGAAATTTTGTCCAATACACCGTCCACTGTTGTGCATGCCCCCCCCCCTATGGGCGGAGCTCCGCTGAGCTCACATGTTTTTTTGGTCGTGCCCTACAGTCCATCCCACACTTGCCCAACTTCTGCAGGTGCTTCTCCAGGTAATATTAAATTTTCGGTAATATTTAATTAATTGTTCCATTCAGAATCATGGTGGCGTTTTGAATTTTTAATGCGTATGTAGCCTACACCATGTCTTGCCTTGACCAGCCGATGTACAAACCAGTAATTTTACCCTCACAAACGAATCTTCTACCAATCAACCGACCTTGAAGGGATGGAAGGCTCAGTTGGCCTGAGCGGATATCGATCCATGATTTGAACCTGCAGCCAGGTGTGTTTATAGGGCGTCACTTGCCTCTAAACCATCACCACCCACATAACGCTCGGGATGTTCCAACGAAATGTAAGAAGCTGCAGTACATCGCAGGAATATATTATGGCTAATACTGCATATGCGGACGTTAAAATGATCTGCAGTGGCAAGTAGAGTAAGGCGCCGTTGGCCAAAGGAGACACCAAGCCGGGATTCGATCTTCGAGCCATGAGTGGTGACATGGAGTGACATGGAGCGCAATTTGACACTACATACAACCCCCCCCCCCTCACCACAAATTGGCTTTTACTTATCATATTTACTAAAAATCAGTAAACAATATCCAACCACATTAATTATCAGTATTTCAAACTTTGTAATAGCTTTTCGATGCTTTTGATTAGTTTCAGCATTCTTTCCCATCTATCCAGACTAAATAACCTTCCTACCTGATCATCGGCCGTTTGCGCAAGTGCAGTACGCAAAGCGGTTGTCTCGTGCTCACGACCTTCCATTTCCGCTCGTAACGACTCAGCCATCTGCTCACAAGCGGCCAGAATTCGACCACCTTGGGCTGTACCTACCGCCTGCAACTAAGCTAGAATAATGAATTTTTATTACATTTAAAAAAGCCCATCAAACTCATCACGCGAAAAAATTAATCAAATTTTGGTAGCTATGGGGATAAAATTGTGTTAGAAAAATTCTATCAACATGGGCTCGAGGCTCTTCTTATCCTGGTAGAGGAACCCCTATCGACAAGTAGTTATGAAAGAACGACCTTATTTTGGTAGTCAAAAACACACCTGAATTTTAACAAAATGAGAAAGAGCCGTTCAATGATTGTGTGTGTGGGCAAGCAAAGAGGGCCATATCAATATCGACGTTTTATCGTCTGAATTCTAGAAATCATTGAACGGCTCATATCCTACCTTTAGTAATGCCATTGTGTAGACGTAGGTGTGCTCGGCTTGACAAACAACTCGGGCCTGGAAAAAAGAAGTAGCTCAGTTCCGCATATTCTTTGTTTACTAATTTTGCTTATTTCTTTCTCGGGCGGAGGTGGTGTAGTGACAAGTGGCGCACTTTGCAGACGAGTGGTTACGGGTTCGAATTACAGATTGACATCCGTCTAGGCCAAACAAGCCTTCCATCCCTTCGGGGTCGCTTAATTGGTACCCGACTCGTCCGGGAGGATAAAAGCATTGAAAAGTACATCGGTTAGCCATCGCAAGTCATTGTATGGGCCACATACGCATTCAATACGCCACTACGATTCTGAACGGATGTCGAATGCAGGGCACATCCCTCAGACGAGATCGTCAACGTCCAAAACTATATTCTTTATACTTTATCAAATTTCTTGACAATAAAGAATACTAGTCATAGAAAGCACAAAATCAACATTCAAGACCGCAGAATCAAGCAAAAATTTAGCAAGTTAGTTTTCAATTAATTTGCTATTTTATTTTACTTTTTATTTAAGTTTTAGATCATTCAGAGAGCATTTACATGCTGTTTATACAACGAGGCAATAAAACAGAGTGAAACAGTTCCAATATCACGCTTACGGTACGAGAATCAAGTTGACGTTCTAACTTTGTGCAAATCTCCCCTTATCATTCCTCACGGGTCATTTCCCCAGTAGAGTATTTTGGAACGAAATGATTAAAGCTGAGGACGAGCACTGTACACTTTTACTAGTTTGACTAACGAGCGCTGGCGTGCATGTGGCAACCAACTGATTCGACCGATAGCCTGTGCTTTCAAGCAAATTCTGTCCCCACCACTGCATTAGCTAAGTTACATTACCCAATATTTAGTCTGTGTACCTCGCCAATAACACTGACCCCGCGTTTACCTTTTCGATGTGCGATCCTTCCTGCTTTGACGTACCCTCAGAGACCCCTCAGACTTGAACTCTACGAAAGCAGAATGAGCATGCGGTCAGTGGAATTCAACGCGCTGTGGATAGGACGATGTTCGGAATTACCCTATACACGCAAGTGCATAAGAGAATCCGGAGTTCCGAGCTCTGTCGACGACTGAAGATCAGGGATGCCGATGATTATGCCAAGAGATCGAAGAACAGGTGAGCCGGAAACGTTATGCCATACCGTGATGACCGTTGGACCAGGGCTCTTACGGACTGGATTCCTCGGGACTCAAGCGAACATCAGGACGGCCGCCAACGAGATTGGTCAGACTTTCCACAAAGCTCTGAATGAAAGAAATGATTTGTTCCTTGTTCCTCGAGAGAGTACTATTCACTGGGTTACTAAGGCTCGCAACAGGGATTGATATTTAGCGGGACGACAGGCGATGCAGGTCATCGCATGAAAACCTATAATTCTGATCAATATCGATTGGTATGACGGAGCCAGCTCTATCGTGTTGACCAATTTTTCAGTTAATCTGAATTTACTTGAATTTTCTAGGATATTTTATTGGCAATCCCCATTGTTACCACCCACCCACTATTCCCAGAAATATCTCATTCATCAACACTGGCAGGGAACAAACTGAAAAGGACAAGTGGACATTGTTATTCCCTATAGAACGACGCATCAATGAGTTTTGCATATATCAACACAGCGCCACTCTCAACTAGCAAGCAATCGAAGCAGTGGATGTGAAAAGGGGAAAATCGATTTCCAACTTCTCACCAGCTCTGAGAACGCTTTCTCGTACGCCGCTGTTATACAGCCTTTCCGATGTTCTGTTAATACCGTATCAATCGACGTCAATAGGACCCTTGAGAAGATATCAAGCTGAAATTTGCGTGAAATTAATTGACTCATAGAATGAAATTTGATAAAAATGACTCGAAACCACTCAAGAGGTCAGATGCGTCAGCATAGGCTGAGGAGAACTCTCCCTACCTGCTGCGCAGCCGAGCTCACAGTACTGATTTCCGTTTGAAAGCCAGCATCCGATATGAGTTTCACAGCAAAATTAAGCATAAGGCAGTTTGGATATTGGTCCATCAACTCGTACAGGAGTGTTCGCCATCGCCTGAAAACGTTTTTGAGATGTGTTGCGCAATTCTTTGTCTTGTCTTCCCTAATAATTCCTCAATACTGCAAGCCTTACACTTGAACTGCTTATTTTCAAGAAAAACCCTTGTCCTTACTGTACCGACCGATTTAGACATTCTGTCTCTACGTCAGCGTGCATGGCGCGTTCGCCAGTAGACGGTTGGTATTCTGCATGCTAGCTAAGCCAAAAGCTTGATTTTAAATGACTGCGCAGTACGAGAAAAGTTAACTGGGGTCACCTTTAATAAATAGACCCCTGGACTTCTCCGGGTAGCATAATATTTGCAGTAGACCCAGCTCTTATCAGGGTCTAGCAAGCTATTCGGGGTATCCATGCGTTGAAAACCGAAACATAAATGCGGCCAATCGCCAATACCAACTTTGAGCGAATGTAGCGTTCTATGCAAGAGGAACGGGGAGAACGTCCGTTGCGCGTGTCCGTCGAAAGTAGGTCACCCCCCCCCCCAATTCGCGCGCGGCGCATCACACTGAGGTCTCGAGATGACATTACAGTACCACCAAGAGTCATTGGAGCAAATGATTTGCATTTGTCTGTGTTATCTCCTTCTTGAACAGACGTTGAACGTCGCAATTGTCACTGGCCAAACGCAAAGCGTATGCCCCAGTGACAATTGCGACGTCTGTCAAACATCGCGGGCCGACTCGCCGCGTGCGACGGCTGCGGCGTGACCTAGTTTCGACGGACACGCGCAACGAAGCGCACCCGGAGGAACGGTTAATCGGAGGTCAGTCAATCGGCAGACCAGCACTTTCAGTCTTCCATGCAAATCTGGTACTAATTGTCCAATTCCAAATGGATAAGAGTTCCCTGGCCCAAGCAGGTATCGAAGCAAGATTTGATCCCCAGGTGTTGCCAACGATGGACACACAACCCGGTACCATTCTTCGCTTAAGCATATAAATGAAGTATCAAATAACAACCAAGGACAAATATCAATTTACCGGCCAAGATATTGGACATCGAGACCTGCTGCAAGTAAAAAACAAGTACCTACTTGTGATTAATAAGCTCGGGCAACCATTCGATAACTCCACCATCTTCAAAGATTGTATCAGCAATATCGGGGGAGAAATGTTTTGCAATTAATGTTGCCAAAGTATTCTCCACACACTTAGCGGCCTCTGAAAGAAAATTAGTTAAATCTAAAGTCAATTCTGTTTATCTCAAACAAGCTGAAACAGGCTATGGAAAAAATTGAAGCCAGAGGGACCCCGCTGGCCGACGCCTCTTCGATACCTGGGGGAGACCAGAAAACTATGACCTTGCTTTTCAAAAGAGCTTATTCCAAGAGCAAAAAAAAACTAAGAGGAAATCAGTAACGAAAAGAATGTTTCAAGGTGAATCATCATACATTATCATAAAAAGGGTGAAGAAACCAATTAATTGGGAGGATATCAGATCGACTTTTGCTCTGAAAATAGTGACGCCCCGCGAAATTTTCGAATCCTCATGAGCACTACCTTGGAAAAAATATTTTTAAAACTCACCCATTCTCCCATAAAACGGTTCCAGTTTCTTATCCGGCTCATGCTTTTTCGATGGACTTTTCGGAGTATCACTTTCTTTTGCTTTTTCTTCTTCTTTCTGTTTCCGTTCTTCCTCTGCTTTCTTTGCTGACTGCTTTGCTCCTCGTCGACCGCGTTTTGTCTTCTTGACTGGTGCTACCGGCTTTGGTTCTTCCGGTTGGGGATCACCTAGTGCCACTAACCAGTCCGACATGATATTTACCGACTAAAAATACAACAGGAATTTCATACAAAACAACACAAAAGCAGAAAAGGGGATTTTTAAAAGGTGGAACGTTGTGTATCACCGTCACCACCATGTCTATCACACCGCACTAGTAAATCTTACCCAGACTTTGAGTTAATGAAACCAAAGACGATTTTGAAAAATGGAGTAAATAATTGGGAAACGATGACACCAGTAGAGGTTTGAAAACCGAATTTCAGGCGGGTAAACGTATGTCCAAAGGTTATGTCGACCGGTCTCTCACCAATCACTTTTACATGATATTCAGTAGGGGCTGTGAAATGCACTACTTATCCGGAAGCGATCGAGTTCCAACCTTGTGGCAGAACCCGCTATTCATATGCAATTAAGAAAATCAGGGAGGTCAGGTAGTAAAATGGATTGCTTTATTTCATTCATTGCATTCTGGCAACTAACAATTACATTTCCTTACCGTTCCACCGCCAATCCCTTTCCAAAGTATTTACCATTTTGGATACCAAGGACCAAAAGCTGAGACGAAAATCAGGAGGTTGTAGAGACAGAGCGGTTCCGCTACTAAAAGCTCAAGGAGGAGCGGGTATAATCTGCAATTTCTTGGCTCTACTGCATACCTCAGCTCACCATTCTTGTGGGCAATTTTAAACTCTGTTCTTATCCTCCCGTTTCAGAATCACTCCCACACCCCATCTCTTTCAGAAGTGCATGGTACCCCGGATGGCCTTCGAAGTTGGTCTATAAATTAACAAATTCTAGCAAAATTCACATCATAACGAAGGCATTGAGCGTCATGAAGCGATCCCATATAATCGAAAAGAAAAGGAAGAACATATCAGAATGAAAAAAATGGGCCAAATTTCGTACCTGAGCATAAGCTTGATAACCAGCCACTAGTGAAGTTATAGCGGTATCCGTGCAACCACAACCTTCTTCCAAATAAATTCGTAGCGACTCCAAAACGCCCGGTTCCATGATAGCATTTTGAGCTGAACCATAGACAAATCAAACAGAAGTGACTATTTTCGCCGACAAGTTCTCGCATCTTAGACACCGTTTCGCCTGTACACCGAGTAGTCTTATAAACCAACAAACACACGTGTTTTTAACGCAAAAGAAAACTATCAAAGTATAAAAAAATTATGCGTAAATGCGAATGGAGTGCTGGAATGGTTTTTTCACTACAGTCAACGGAAAAAAAATAGTGAAGAGGTCCACACAAAAAGACTTCATAATATGGTAAAAAAAACCATGGTGGCAGCAGAAAAAGCAAACATAAAATAACGAAATAACTAAACTGGGTACACCGATGAAGACTGCTAATCCCTTAACTCCCCATTAAAATGAATACAAGTAGGGCTTTGTTTTTGATTCAGTAAGTACCTCATGGTTCTCATTATACTACAATGTCCCAGGAGTCTGACAACTGCTGTAACTCCTCTTCTTTTTCGACTAAAAAACCAAAATTCGATTGTAGAAAAAATTCAAAAAAATAGACTCAAGTAACAAGAAATCTGCAAGTTCTGTCTACTGTTCTGTTCATGTCGGGCTCAGAACATGCCGTTCTATGGGGCTTAAAAGTCTTGCAAAGCCTAAGTGTAAAAGTGTATTCGGAAAATACTGCTTCGCGAGGCAATGAAACTTATACTGAACCGAAATTTTTTTATTTCTAAAAAAATTTCCAAACCCTAGCAAACAAGGTAGAACGGTAACAAGGTTTGCTCGAAAAATAGCAGGGAAAAACTCTCGATTCCATCTTAATAATAAGGACTTACTTCTGAGAAGGGTAGCTTACCATCCAATCTCCCCTGCTACAGGCTCTTAATTGTAAGAAGCGGGTTCAAACTTATCAAGTGGTCTTAAGTAATGCTTGAGGAAGAAGAAAGGCTGAAGGAGTTTGCTGTGTACTCTGAACCCTCGCGCCATCTTCGAGGAGATTACCGAAAACGAAGGTCCTAGGAAAGCGTTATAACGCAACTGAATCATTCTGCTCTTTGTTCATTTCCACTTGGGAAACCGCTACTTCCCCAGACATACTTCCTACGATCTCTGCCTCTACACCTCATTAAGGAACTCACAACTAATGCTTCAGCTCCAAACCTCACCTTTAATAAATTGTAACGCTTCATCAGGTGTCATTTCCACATTTTCTTCTTCTTCATCCATTTTCAGCTCAAATTAATACATCGACTAATGGATCCAATGTGCTCTACTTTTCCACTACGTTGCAGTACGTTCAACACAGGTTTCACACCAGGACTACACAACGACCATAAAATATTCAGTAAAAATTTATATTTGTCGATAAATTAGGTACATGTAGTGTTTTGTAAAATGGTGCTTATCAACACTCAGAGTTCAGATCCACATAATTTTAGTGACGAAATCGGAAAGAACTTCCATGCAAAAAGGCCTTATTTAAGATGATTGAGACATACAGACAGCCGGCAACAAGTTATACGCTCTTATAAAAAATGAGTTCGATTTTCGAATCTCAAACAGTACTCAAAACCCGGAACAAAACAGCGTCAGATCATACCAACGCCCATATTCCAGCGCAACAAACAACTTATTCAGTCAACGATTAACAATTGAAACAAATAAACACAATGATGAGATTGAAATATCGGGAAGAGGTTAATACGATTTTCTAAGGAATGGACGTGGACGAGGGTATCTACAAGATGCCTGACATCGGTTTTCGTCCTGGCCATGATTCTTTGGCGTATTTCTTCTTGTGAGGTTCGTCGCTGTCCACCGTCACAACATGTGGATGAACTGAAGAAAGTAGGAAAACATGAGAACGATGGTAAATTCTACTACAATATGTTCGGCAATAAAGTTTAGTAGAACGTTACTCTGAATGTGAATAATTTCGAGTAATGAGAAAATTATCTGTACCGCCCAAAAAAAGGTTGAAAGGGCTGCATATATCCACTTAAAGGGATTAACGTAGCGTAGAAGATAGAAATCCAACTCACTGTTATGCATTCCCGGTTCAGGCAGCGTCTTACTGTACAGTTCCAGATCGGGAGCCGCATTCAGAGCCATACCACCTAGTGTTGAGCACATCGGTGCTGCTAAGGACACATCACGGAACGGTCGAACAATCTGAAAAGACAGTCCCCACGGATTATCGAGTTTTGCTACTGTAAACTCGAGAAAGAAAACTATCAAGCAAAACAGCCCCGTGGAGCTGTTCACCTTTCGCGGCGGTTCATGCCCTTTTACTTCAGGTGCAGTACGTTTGGCAGGATTGTTTGAGATAATCGCAGTAGCGACGAGATTTCGGAAACGTCCAATGCTCGGGTCAACGTCTTCTGAAAATACAGCTGTGAGCAGAGGGAGCCAAGAACTAGAACGGCTATCGTAGAAGTAAGCCTAACAAGTTTGTCGCCTTCGCGAAGATCATTTGGCGGCCTTCAAACATGAGCCTGAACACGATAGCCCATAAACGCCGCCCTGAGATACATCATTCTTAAGGAACCCACGACACTTACTATTTCTACGCACGAGACTGCTACCATCTATCACAACAATACGATGTTTACACAAAGATTTCGCCTATCGTCGAATCATTCCCGTATCCTTCCTCCCGTAAACATTTTCCCACCTATGCGAACCAATGTTACGATTATAAGGTACAACGGATTGTGGTCGACGTACAAGTCGGTGTTTGATCCTCCCAGGAGAGTTTACCACTTAACTTACCCCAGCAAAATAGAAGGCCTGGTTGGCCTATGACACTATGGAGCCGGGATTCGAACCCTATACCATACGAGTGCGATACAGTACACCGCTTGCCACTAAATCGCCTCCACCCTCTATCTGCGATATGTGATGCATAGATACACTCAGCTCTAAGCATGAATGCATAAACAAGCCGACAATATTTGGCATCTTTTTGGAAAACCATGAAAAACTGGTAAATGGAGGAAAAATTAGTGGAAAAATCCTGACATAGACTGCGCACAAGCACGGTTAATTTATTAATGTTCACACTTTTCGTAAGCAAGTAATCGTAATTTAAGAAAAACGCATGCCCAATCCACAGTGGGTCCATTAAGAATGCATAGATAAACAAAATGTAAATATCTCATTCGAAATCATTCCTTTTACTAAAACTCCTCTCTTCACTGTGGCGAAAAGTATGAACAAGCTGAGGCAGAAGCGATGACAATTCACGCAGTAGCGCATTAACATCCTTTCGGTCAGAAACACTGCACGTCTCGTGTATCGAATCAACTCATGTGCAACATTTCTCACTGAGAGGAATGACCGCAGCGCTACCGCACACGTTCTAAGGATTTCTCTACCAAATTCAACTGACCTGGGTTAATGATCTCCTCCTGCTCGATGAATGCCACATTTCCACGAGGCCGTTTTTTTCGTCGAGCCTCTTCAACTGATATTGGCAGCTGTGGGATTCGCCGATTCAATGCCGTGTTGTATTCAGTCACATTCTAAACAAGTAGAAATGAACTCTAATCTAAATAAGTAGAAGTGAACACACAAGAATATTTAATTAAGCAACGTTTACAGTCTGAGATGTTCAAAAAATTACCATGGTCCACGAAAAGACTAGATGCCTGCCGCAAGCGATAAACGAGAACAAATTGATTTTTAACTAAATCCAAAAAAGAGAAATCGCGTTTTCCAACTCTTCAAACTTCGCGATTTTACACTTTGCAGCTCCTCGACTTTCCCAATCAATGCATTTATAACATAATTTGCGTATTGGTGCAGACTTTTAGCACTGCCTCCGAATTCTCCATAAAATCCTAAAAACAAAATCAACACTAAAAACAACACCTCCAATTCCTGTTCACTGGGCATTTTCTCCTTTTCTTCGTCTTCGGTCTCCTTATTTTGCACGAGTTTCAATCGAAGAGTGTACCTGAAAGTACCCGATGAACCAAGTGGGAACCATCTTTTTCTAAAACGTAACCCGTGAAAACATTTAGCACAAACAGAAATCAACCATTAACTTCAATCACGAATTACTTCTGTTCAGTAGTTGTCAAGGTAATACGAATTGCAACAGGACAAAAATAGGTATCACGAGTACCTCAGTTACGGGACGGAGCCGCCCTCACCACTCAAAGCATTCTATATGATCCAAACAGAGGCATGCTTCTGAGCGTTTATATCAATTCTTGATAACACGTAGCACTGATAACAAATAGCATTCTGAAGGTAGATCCACCAGGATACGCGTTTAAAATGCTTACCTACTGTTCCTTATACCACTACTTTTTCGCTGCTTCTACTTTTACACTCCTCGGTTGGTCGACTAATTTTAGTCAAATAAATTGGGGAAGCGCAACTGATGGAAAAGTTGCAAGTACCTCAAAGTGGAGAAAAAAAAGACCCTTTATATCAAGTGGAATGTGGGTGGATAAATGGGCAGAACACCCTTTTTTTGTCACAAGTCATTCAATTAAGTTGGAAAATATTTAAAGGATATTAGGCGAAGCTGTCATCAAGGTGAAGTGGGCTGTCACTGCTGCGAAATCTGGTCACATGAGTCACAAACGCCTTCTGAGCATCCCGGTACAAATAACCATTCGGAGTTACTTTTCTCCCATGAAAATATTGTCTAGTAGAATCTGTACCCTAGAAATTTAAACTAGAGCTTCGCGTCATATTTGAGATACAGAAAAATGACTTCCAGCATGAAGGCGACTAATTCAACGTTCAGCAGAATTAATGCGAACTTCTTTGCCCTTGGAAGAAAGCTGAATGGAAGTCAACACATGGTGGATGCGAGTTATAGGTGGTATGCACTCCCATGCAACGGCCCAAAGAACAAAGTGAGGGAGGGCGAGTGAGATTCCTGTAGTGTAATGCAGACATGATGTTCAAAAAGCCTAAGCTTCTGTCAGAACTTAGACCATGAATTTTCCTTTGGTTTTTCTTTTTTGCCATCAAATTCACCCATGGGTTCTTGAAAAATCCAAACAGATCGAAAGCTGACATCTAGATTTTGCAGCCTAAAGTGCAACAAGCATTCACACAAAGTTTGGAACTTCGCCAAAGGATACCACAGAGGTCTATCCGATTTATTCCCTTCAAAGCCGTGTTGGTTATATTCGAAGGTATAGTCGGAATTTTTGAATAAATTAGCAAAATTAGGAATCAAAAGCATACAAATAAAAAAGTCTAGCTTGATTAAGGAGACGCTCAGCTTGAGAACATCTGTTCGCTTGTTTTTCTTAACAAATGGGTGGAAATTTGAAATGGTACGTCGAATGACCGTGGATCGGTAGTACGAATGTTACGCCGGCTTACCGATTTTTGTTCTGCCTAATTTACGTCTATTTTTGGACGTACATATACTTTCAGAGTAATACTGGGATCGAATTCGTAATATCAGAAAGGCACGCAAGCAAGAGAAAACGTCGAAGCGATAAAATCCATCCTTTTTCCGTTTACAACCTACGCAGAACTCCATAACTTGCTTCCCTAGCAAGAATGTGCAACGGCTAGTGAACGAACCTTCTCGTTGACGCTCCAAAATGGAATGGCTGGCCGATGTCAACGAATACCACTTTCAGAGGTTCTAGACGAATATTTCCCAGAAAGGTTCCATGACCTGAACAAGATTATTATTACTTTTGAAGAGAAAACTGTTAATTCGAAAAATATTCCGGATAATTGAGCAGAGCAGATAGCCAGACTCTAGACGGATGCGGTGGGAATGTCCTGCATTTTTTACGCATCGCACGTAGCCAGCTGTCCAATGGTGTTAGCTTTTTCCTCAAGCTGATCTATTTCGTAGTGTTGTAGCCTTTGCAAAAAACTGGAGTTATTACCTCTGCTGAATTTGTTAGCAGATTTCAATTCCCATTTATACCAACGATATAAAATCGCATCTACTGTGTGCAGGGCTGCCACGATAAGGTGCACACTGGTGGGAAACGTTAACCGAATTTTTGAATGGACATATTCGATAAGCAACATATCAACATCGCTGCTCGCGCTTCTAATGAGCTTTGAGATAGTCTGTTGTATCAACGAATGCTCATCCGTGAGAAGGCAAGAGTGCCTCACTGCACTTTAAGGTCTGAAGCGTAAAGTCCTCGGCGTAAATCGATCCCGTTTGGGGATGCGCTTCAGCATTCGACCTCCATTCAGATTAGCAGTGGTGTTTCGAAGGCATATGTTGCTCGCACTGTGACGTGCGGTGGCTAGCCGACTTATAATTCAGTGTTTCTATCCCCCCAGACGAGTCTGGTAACAATAAACCGTCATAGGAAAGAACCGGGATCCGATCACTCGACCTTGCGCGTGATCTGCACCATTTGCCACTACACCACCTCTACCCACCGCTCCTGGGGGAACGTCTGCCTCCATCGTCGACGAAGCACGACACGCCACACACTTCGTGCGTGGCACAGCCCACTGCGATTTCGAAATGGACAAGTTTGAACGTGAAAGGGTTTTGCGGTTTAATCAATATGCAGCAGGTGGGCATTTGAATGCAACTTAGAACGCGCTATTGAGAAATGAATGAATGATAATGAGAACTGCTTGTAGAAGTTGCAAAGTGAAGTTGAGTAAGGTGTATTTGGTTTTTTCCATGCAGAAAACAGAGGAACCAGAAAATGACGCAGTAAGGCGGTGAGCTGAAGAAGGTTCTCTGCCGGAAAGTGTAGAACAGCTACTGCACCGATCTTGTTATTCAAACGTTCGCATGCGGGAAGATTATTCAAACCGCAAATCTTACACGTCTAAACGAGTCCATCTTGAGACTGCGGTGGGTTTCGCCGCGCGCGACGTTTACGACGTGAACTAGTTATATCGGCGATATGAACGAAGCGCACCCCACCGCGCTTTATTATTGAAAGAGACGGGACGTAGCCATTTGGGAAAATACGATCCTCGGAAACTCGGCCTACTTCAATCGAAAGGCTCAAAAATCAGTTCATTTGCCAGTGGTGTCTGTTTTTATAAAACGGTCATTTCATATCAAGCAGCTGTACCTAAATAGTTTGGAAGTAATAGCTTTGCGTGGATTACTGGTATCCACATTAAATGTATGCAATGCGTGGGCAATCTGTGAAGAGGAGGGTTTTCCATAATGCATAAACGAAACGTAATCTCATGAGAAAAATGAATCTCATCTCAGCCTCGATGAAGTCATCACTTGGTGGTCTGAACAACATCTCACAGTATCAAAAAAAGAGTATCGCCAGTGCAACAAAAGGAGTTCAATGACGTGGTGACAATTATTTTACACAAAAAGCTCTGTTCTGAGCCAAATCTTGGGTACGATTTTGAAAAATACCTTCATTCTTAAACCTCTACAATTCTTCAGCTTTCCATTGAGTTTGACAGTGAAAGCACATCCCTTCAATGCATAAGAATGTTTCCCTAGACTAAAATTTATTTCCGTTTGTTTGTTTCCGAGAATGATGAATGGACTTTCATTCACTTCGAACGCATAAATACATTCCTATCATTGCACTTTTTTTTCAGCTCCCACATTTTTACTAGGAATATCCCGTCTCGTGTCCTATTTGTGAAGTTTATAGCAAGAACTCAAGTGAATGAAAAGGTTGAGGTGGATTAAAAACGCAAATAGACAACAGCGAAACCTTTCTTATATGGCAATGCTTTTTTGAGCCTCTTAGCCTTTCTTAGAGTACCCCTTTGATAGAACCAAGGTGAACGGAAACTCTGGTTCACCTCTGATTCAGCTTCATCTTCACCACAAGGTCATTTGCTACTCTGAGCAAATCTTCTAGTTCATAATACTTACTATTAAAAAACACACTCCTATCCTCAGACTATCCCGACCAACACGATCTTCCCAAATACTGGTAATCAGAATCATAAACGAAATTTAATTTTCAGAAAAAGCCGCAAAACTTACTGCTTTCCATGTCAACCAGAGCGAATCGGTTCAATACTCCATGATAGAGCAACAAAGCGTGTACCCTAGAGCATGATGCATGCTCAACGGCAAAATCGACTTGTTTCGGATTTCGACCAAAGTAATACGCCCGCTTCTCGTCTACCATCAACTTCTGAAATGAGAAATTTTTCCTACTCCACTCCACAACGAAGTGGGAACCAATTCTGCACGCTAATAATCGCTTCACAACGAATGAGCGTCAATGGCACATCAAAAGGCATTTTTATTACCCTGCGAAGGCTTGTGAGGGGTGTACCGAAAGCAAGAGGATCGATCCCCATTTGAACAAATCCCAGTACTTCAGAGAAAAAAACGAAAAAAAAACTCAGTCTTAGATTCTAATTCTTCCCGTGAAATAAACCAAATTCCCATTATTTCAAAAACTGATGGGAACAATACTCGTGGATGAGAAATCGTTCGTCTACTCTGAATGGCAGGCCCGATCTGGAACAAAATAATCGCTAGAAAGGTGGGTGGGGACCCCACACTCGAAATATCCACTTTAAAGCAAGCATCACTACCAACTCAGCTCACCCTTACAGCACCATGACTTCAGATTTACTCTGAACAAAACTTTAAGAAAACAAAAACGACTTAAAGTCTCACCTGTATCAATTGGTCTCCTTTGCAGACATCCAAATGTGACCCAGGTGGTGGTCGACTAGCCCAATCGGGTACAACAAACTTCGACTTTTCATCAACGGCCGCTGTGGTGGCTACAGCCCTGACTGCTGGCACTGTCGAAGTCTCACCGGTCATTACCGACCAGTACCTATAACTAGTTTATTTCAATGAATCTCATATTAGAATCCATTACACATACATTTTCTCGGCACAACACAGTCTATATCACACAATAGCCTACGCGACGAATAAATATTGCGATAAATAGTAACCGGGAAGGTACAAGTGACGACAAATTTTAATTTTAAGCACAAGAAGAGGAGATCTGACGACCTAAACAGAGCTACGGGAGGACCGGGACAGACTTGCGACTAATTAGGAAAATCGATAAAGAGGGAGGATGAGTTCTTCTTTGGCACATACGCACTAATACGCTACAACATATAACCGATTACATACAATTTCACGATCATTTAACCTGGAAAACTCAAAATCAGCCTGGATTCATGGATTGCTTGTACCATTTCAACATATTTGAAACTGGCAGGAAGGGAACAGAGCAACATAACAAGTTCTAGAGAAGCCCATGATTTGTTGATTGAACATCAGAAGCAGATTAGGAGCGAAGTCAAAAGAAGCGTAAAAATGTGTAAGAAAAGGTGGGACACAATGTAGTTCAAACCTGGAAAACTCAAAATCAGCCTGGATTCATGGATTGCTTGTACCATTTCAACATATTTGAAACTGGCAGGAAGGGAACAGAGCAACATAACAAGTTCTAGAGAAGCCCATGATTTGTTGATTGAACATCAGAAGCAGATTAGGAGCGAAGTCAAAAGAAGCGTAAAAATGTGTAAGAAAAGGTGGGACACAATGTAGTTCATAAAGCTGCAAAGGAATGAGTTGAAAACCGGGAGAAATCAAGCTCTGTCGCTGGCATCGCTTTTACTTTCCAAAAGGCAAGAAGCCCTTGACTGTCTCGAAAGCTCCTGTGGCAAGCGTTTTTGCCTTCTCCACTTGTTCAGTCAGACCAAGTTGTCCAATAATACTGTCATCCTCAGCGTTCATTGCTGCAGCTAGTTCCTAAATTAACGGCAATTGGCCAAATCAGTCGGAAACTTTCGCTAAGAAATCGCTAGCTATGTAATTATCAGTCGGAAACTTTCGCTAAGAAATCGCTAGCTATTTAGTTCCGCCCTAATAACCCTAATCAATACGTACCTACAACACAAGACAGTAAAAACAGCATAAAGTCTCACTTCAGGTGTTTTTCTTGGCACACCGATACGATCAGTCGGAAACTTTCGCTAAGAAATCGCTAGCTATGTAATTCCGCCCTAATAACCCTTATCAATACGTACCCACAACACAAGACAGTAAAAACGACATAAAGTCTCACTTCAGGTGTTTTTCTTGGCACACCGATACGACCTTCAGTGAAATCCATTGCTGCACCTCCTTCTTCCTTCTTGTGGATCTTGTATTTATCACGGATGCCTTGGCGCATTTTCTCCCTTTCGGCCTCCATCTTTCTGTGCCTCTCCTTGCGGCGTTCCTGTTCTTCGAGGCGTGCTGCTACGACCTGGAAACCCATTTACTTTGCGATGGCAGCCCAAAACAAGCGGCGCTATTTATTCCAAACATTCAGTTGAATAAACCCCCCCCCCATACACATTCTTTTTTAGGA